TATATATATATATATATATATATAAATAAAAATAAAAGAAACCCTGCAGCCATTCCTGGGGGCCGCTGCTATAACGTTATTCCGACCAAGCCGGGGGAGGCATTGGTAGAAAGTTTTACTGGCAAGAGAACTTCAGGCCGGTCTCACTAGCTACTCGTTTTGCTCCCGACAAGGATCAGAAGCGTTCGTGTCCCAGCTCCCACCCACAGCCACGAAGCGGGCTGACGGGACGACTCGAGAAGAGGCCGCCAGCCCGGCCCCTGAGCCGCTTGGATCCGGCCCCGTGGGCGCCGCATCGCGCGGGTCCCTGACTGCGCTGGAGGCGCATCACATTGGCCCGAGATCGCCCACCCGCCGACGCCGAGAGCGAGGATTTCGAAGGCGGGGACGCTGCAGGGCGGCCCGGGACGCCGCGGGCGACAGCCAGGGGAGCAGCAGGGGCCGGGCAGCCCCCGCTCCAGGGCCACGGTTCTTCGCTGAGCCGCTGCGAGCCGGGCGCCCCGCCCCCCTAAACGCCTCCTCTAGGCGGCGTGAGTCCCAGCCCAGACAGTCTCGGGAGCAGGAGCCGAGCGTCTCCCCCCGCCGCAGCCTGTGAGCGAGAGGCAGGTACCTTCGCTTGTTGGTCGGTCTCCCCCGCGCTCCGCTTCATGCTGCTACTGCCGCCGCCGCCGCCGCCGCCGCACATGCACCCAGCACCGCGCATGCGCGCAGCCCCCACCCCGTCGGCCGTGACCCGCGCGGAGCTGCCTCCCTGTAGTCTTCTCGGCCGCCCCTTGACGGCCCCGGCGCGGGCACGGGACTACAGCTCCCGGCATGCCGCGCGCCGGACAAACAGGAAGTGGGCGGACACAGCGCGGGGTTGTTCGAAACCCGGAACTTGAGGTGGCCTACAACTCCCAGTAGACAGCGGGACACGGCGCACTCGAGTAAGCTTCTCCACGCCGTCGGCGGAAGTGACGTTTTGGGTAGCAACGGAGGCAGTTAGTTGTTGCTAACAGAGAACGCGGAGGTAGCGCGGAAGCTGTGAGTACCGGGGCCGCCGCCCGGGGGTGAGGAGCGCTTGGAGCTGCCCGCCTCGGGGCGCGGGGTGCAGACTGGTCCCAGCTCCTTGGGGCCCCCTTTTTCCCGGGCCTGAGAGACTACGGTACCGGGAGCCCCTGGCCCACTCCCGGGCGGGCAGCGGGGCGCGGGCGGGGATGGCGCCCACCGAGGTTACGGCCCCGCCCCAGAGGATGGGGAGCAGCGGTCCTCAAGTAGGGTCCCCTGCGGTGCCTTGGGATCCTGTCGGGCCCGGGGTGCCACGGCAGTGCCACCAGCGTTACCCGCCGTGTGAGGGGTGTGGGCGCAAGTCACAAAATGACCCCAGAGATTTCAAAGAGGAATCCACAGTGCTAAAAACAACCTGCCCTTCCTGTCATCTTTGCAGCAGGAGGACTGCTCTATTGGGCTTCTGTAGCCAAAAAGGAGTGAAAACTAAGAGCTGGTATTTGCGTGGTGCTTTGCATCTAACCAGGGGTGCCTCGAGTCTGAAAAGCTTGAGAACCCCTTGAAACGGGAAAAGAGTTCATGGGGAAACAGCTTCTATATCTGATCCTGTGCCTGTAAAATGGGGCTTTATACCTGGTCCAGCCCTTCCCATGCTCCTCCCTGAAAACACAAACCCCTGGGGTTTGAGTGGCCTGCAGCACAGGTTTGAAGACACACCTCTGGGTAACTGTGCTGCTCACTTATGTCTGCTGGAGCAACACTGCAGGCTCACCATGGCAGTGAGTACTGCATATGACCTTCCAAACCAGTGGTGCCATTGTCCTATTTGCATGCATCTTAATGAGCGCTCTTGCAGGGCGTTTTCCACTGTGCCATGTGACTGTGGAAGTCATGTTTCCCATTCAGAGCATAGGCTAAAGTAGAGCAATGGGATGTGATTGAGAAGATAGCCTGGTTCCTGATATGGGCCCCAGATGCATCTCACTGCTTGCTACTGAAGGATCATAGGTGGATACCAATTCAGGGCCCCAGGATCCTAATCAGCAGGGAAGTGAAAGCATGGTTTTAAACTTGGTACATTTCTGTCTCACAGCAGGGAGACAACAATGGCACCAAGTTTAAAACTGTGGCTTTTGCATTTGCTTCCCTGCTCCACCAGTGGCGCTGGAGTAGCCAGGGCTGGGGTGGCCAGGAGCACTGTACCAGGGGCAGGGCAGGCTGGGAGCACCACATTGTACTGTGCCTCTGCAGGCTGCCAGCGGTGCTGGGGGGGGGGCCATATCCCCCTCAAATTCACCTTAGCCCTTTGTAGCCACCCCTCCCAGCACTGCCACCCTCATGCAGAGGCACGGCACAGCACGGCATGGGTCTTCCGGCCTGAGGAAGTACTCAGCCCCATGGACACAGCTGGGCAGCAGCTGCCTGCCAGTCTGTGCAACAGGGGCCGGGCACACAGAGCCTCAGGCAGCTCATTGCAGGGGGAGGAGGGGAGGCAGGTTGCCTCAGAGTGATGGAGAGTGGGGGAGGGGGAGGTCTTGTGAGGGGAAGGTATGTGGCTGGGTGTGTCCATCTGCATGTGTCCATCTGCGTCTGCATGCATCTTTGCTTGCATGTGGCTGTGTTCATGGCAGGGAGAGTATGTTTGTGTCTGTGTGTCCATGTGCAGAGAGTGAGTAAAAGTAGTATGTGCCCATCTGTGTGTGTGTGCAGTGTGTGTGTATATGTTTAGCCATAGTGGGGGTGGAGAGGCAGGTACCAGGGAGAAGAGCTGGGCATGTGCCCTCCCCACCTCCAGCCCAGCAGGGTTCCCCCAGCTTCTCCCACCAAAATCAGGAAGGGAAGGGGCCCCTCCCCCCCCCCACGGGGCAGAAGGCTTCCAATTTTGTTTCTACCCAGGGCCTCAGTATGCATTAATCCGCCTCTGTTCAGGGTGTGCCTCTCCGGTGCCTCATACAAAAAAGGAACAGCTGATAGCATTGGTGCCAGAATCTTTGAAATGCTGAGTATACCTCTAGATCAGTGGCTCTGAACCAGGGTGTCACAAACACTCATTAGGGGTGCTGTGGCAGCAGACAGGTAAAACTGCCCCACACACAATCCTTCTGAATAGGGTTCTGATCATTGGGAAGATGCTGGCTGAGGTGTAGCCCTCCTGGTCCAGCCCCTCCCATGCTCCTCCCTAAAACAGAGGTACACAGGACAGTTCTACCTGCATGTCTTTGTTTCTGTGGGGAGGACCTGAAAGAGCTGCATGGTCTGAGACAGTTCCTGTCTGCTTTAAGCTTATGAGAGTCCTAATACATCAGGCGAGTGCATACATGCCACAGCCCTTACCACAGCAGGCCTGGGGAAGTTTTATTTGGAGGCAGTAACACCCAGTTGAGAAGCACTAAGGTAAGTTAAGGCGGCACCAGCAGTAGTTCTCAACTGGTGAGCAATCCTGTTTAAAAAAAAAAAGGAGGGGGGTGGAGAGGTGCCATGAATCTGAAAAGTTTAAGAACCATTGCTCTAGATGTATTATATAGCTCCATGGCATCATTCTTTGTGTAGAGACAAAAAGAGATGAAACTCTACCAGTACAGTGTACATGTCTTTGATATATGGCTAGAGCAGAAATAGAGAACAGAAAGTATTTGCTTTTGCTGCTGGTATGCCAGCTAATGTGTGAGATAGGGTTATGGGTTGGTTTGCATGATTTTTTCCTTTAAGCTTATTTTGTTAATTAGGGTTGCTCTACTAAATACTAAAAAGAAAAGCAACAACCTCGCTCAAATTTTTAAACAAGAGTTTCTAACTTTCTACACTAACCTTGTAAATCTGCATTTAGACAAGCTACATATTTTTAGAGAACATCCGTGGGACTTCAGTATAAACTGTACCATGTGGCAACAAATTAAACTACCTATTGAAAACTTAAGTATCACCCTCTGCTCATGTGAACTTTCCTCTGGTGCAGTTCTTGTAAACCAGTGTTTGTCCCTGTGTAAATTGTATAAAACTGTATCTTAATTTTTGCAACATTTCATAGTTTCATAGTAGCTAGGGTTAGGAGGGACCTGAACAGATCATCTAGCCTGTACTCCTGCCACAGGCAGGAATGAATGCTGGGTTCACAAGACCCCAGACAGGTGATCATCCAACCTCCTCTTGAATTTGCCCAAGGTAGAGGCGAGGACCTGGAGGAAGTTGGTTCCAGATTTTGGCCA